TATTTGATTATTTTTTACACCAAGGGGCCAGCCCCTTGAACCCCTGCTCCTGCGGAGGGCCATCGGGGCCTTGCCCCGAACCCCACTCCTGCGGAGAGCCTTGGGGCTGTGCCCCAAACCCCGCCCCATCAACCATACACAGGAATGAGAAATGCCTTTCCCCCTCTTGGCAATGCAGTGGGAGTGAGGCCCTTTTATTTGTTGTTTTCCTTTATTTCCTTGCCATCTCTGCAAACCCACCACCCCAACCAATCAAATTTTCTCTGTAATTCCTTTGTAAGTTTGTAAAACAGTGTTCCCCATGTTACCATGAATTTTTTGGATTTTATTTTATAGAGAGCACCTGGCTTTTATTTTTCTATCTTGTTATTCTATGTTGTCCCATGTTGCCGTGAATTTTCTGGATTTTATTTTATATAAAACTTATTTTCCTTCGTTGTCCCACATTGCCGCAATTTTTTCAGATTTTATTTTATTCAGGACACCTTGGTTTTATTTTTTTTGGATGTTTCTGCTTCATGTTGTGCCATGTTGCCGTAAATTTTCTGAAATTTTTACCTTATATGGAACCCTTCATTTGATTCTGCTCCACATTTTAATTATACAATTTTATTTACCTATTTATTTTACATGCTAATAGCGAAATACAAAGAAAAAGAGAGAATACAACCATTTATTGTAGACACCAATTTCGAAAACATAACTAATACAACACCACTATTACTATTATTATCTAATTGTATTTGCTAATTAGCGAAAACAACAAAAAAAAAAAAATAACACAACAATACTATCATTACTTATTAATAACTAATTGGTGAAAACAACCAAAAAAAAAAAATTAACAAACAACTACTATTTTTATTATTTTATTATTTATTATTACTACTATTTACGGTTATTATGACCTATTTATCTACTTTTATTTACCTATCTACCTATTTTATCTATTTATCTATCTATTTTACATGCCAAAGTCACATGGGAACAAAAAAGAATTGCTCCCATGGGGGGATTTGAACCGATTTTGAGTGGGGGTATTAGTACTTTTTCGCATATGTCTGTGCACGAACAAAGTTGTGGGAGGTTACACTCAATTGCTCACGTGAATTTCCTCAAACTAAACATATACACGTGATTTTTCACATAAACCTATCATATCTCTGTCAGTTCTCATCCGTTTCTCGTCGGGTTTTTTTCCTTGGGTGCGTCTCAATGTCCTCTACATGCTGTACTATTAGTCCGACTCGTCGTTCGGCAATCCTGAGGAGATTATGGCGATTTATCGCATTCCCCATGCACAAACTGTATAGTAATCTATTATATCTTGCTTGATACTGAACCAAATGTTTTATAAATTTGCGTACTAATTTATATATTATTAACGCAAGTTTTTGACATTTCTTTATATTTTTTTTGACATGCCATGAGGCGCTGGAAGACGTTTCCCACGCACAGACCACGCGCGGAGCAGACACTACATTCGTATCTCTGTCAGTTCTTATTCGTTTCTCCTCGAATTTTTTCTAACGGGCGCGTATTAAATTCTCCTACAATGTGTATTATTACCCCAACCTGATACTTTGCGATATTGAGGGTGTCAAGTGAAATTTAATGGAATAATTTATCATATCTCGCTTGATATTGCACCAAATGTCCTGAAATTTTGCGAGCTATTTTATATAGTATTAGCGCAAGTACTTGGTATTTTTACAGATTTTTAAAACATCTGTAAGGTGCTGGGGACCGTTTCCCACGCACAGATCATGCGCGGAGCTGACACTGGATTTGTATCTCTGTCAGTTCCTATTCGTTGCTCTTCGGGTTTTTTTCAACGGGCGCGTGTCAATGCCCTATACAATGTGTATTATTACCTTAACCTGATATCTTGCGATCTTGAGGGTGCCAAGTGAAATTTAATGGACTAATTTATCATATCTCGCTTGATACTGCACCAAATGTTTTGGAAATTTGCATGCTACTCTAAATATTATTAACGCAAGTACTTGATATTTTTACATATTTTTAAAACGCCTGTGAGGTGCTGGAGAACGTTTCCCACGCACAGATCACCCGCGGAGCTGACAGTGGATTGGTATCTCTGTCAGTTCTTGACCGTTTCTCGTCGGGTTTGCTGCAATGGGCCCGTACTAACATTCTATGCATTTGGTATTATTAGTGCAAGTCGTGAATCAGCATGAGTGAGGAGGTGGAACGTTTTTTCCACAAATAAACCATGTACATAAGTTTCTCTGTCAATTTCCATTCGTTTTTCGTCGGGTTTCTTTTAATGGGCTCGGACCAACTCTCGGTTATTTTTTATTATTGGTGCAAGCTGCGAACGAGCGCGTATGAGGCAGTAGGACGTGTTTTTACATTTTTTACACATAAAAGGAATGTTCATGTGTATCTCTGTCAATTCTCATTCGTTTTTCGTCGTTTCTTTTTGTACATGGTTTTAATTACGTCCTCGTTATTTCATATTATTAGCGTACATTGCGAATAAGGGTGTATGAGGCGGTGGGATGTTTTTTCACATTTTTTCACACAAAAACACATGTACATTCGTATCTCTGTCAAATCTTGTTCTTTTTTCATCAAACTTTTTTCAATAAGCTTCTATTGACGTCCCCCATATTTCATATTATTAGCGCACATCGTCAAACAGCCTGTATGAGGCGTGGAGACTGTTTCCCACGCACACAACTCGCGCTGGGATGGGCCACCACTTGTATCTCCTTCAGTTTTCAACCGTTTTCCATGGGGTTTTCTGCAATGGATGCGTCATGATCACCTCTCCGTTTGATATTATTACACCACGACAGGTTGTCTAGTACAATTGTTAACATTGAAAACGCTCCCACGGCTCACAAAACTGAATTGCTTATGAATTTAATTTGTATTGAACAATACATTCAACCTCACTTCATTATGAGATATAGAATAGAATTCATTATAGAATATATATACAAAGTGCATACAATAGTGTGGGAAAGTGGAAAGAGCAACTAAGCTTTTTCCCTCCCCATCATTGAATAACCATAGCTCTATACAGCTTAATATTTGACAAACTTGTCATATCCGTGCATACCCGACCCCGACCTGACTTCCGGACCTCCACCCTCTTCACCTCCGGAGTCATAACCTACCGTTGCCGTTCCGATACTCACCTTCGGTCTTGGCAACACACCCCTCCCCTTACCTCTCCGACCCTATCTCCGTCCACTCCGATACTCATCTCGGACCGAACATCGCCCCACTCGCCACCCTTCCTACTACTCCGCTCCCCCTTCACAACACCTCCACCCTCCCATCATCCCCCTACGCTTCCCCTGTCCGCTCCGATACTCACCTTCGGACCTGACTACTCTCCTTTCCGCCACTCCTTCTCCCCTTACCTGTCCCCTCTCTCCTCCCTCCGTTACTCCTCCGCCCCCCTTCTGCCAAGTTATGACCTTCCACCGCTGTTCCGTACTTTGCACTCGGACACCGCTCGTACCTTACTCCAAGCCTCCATCATAGTCCCTACCTCGGACTTTGACTCCACCTTGGTCTTAGTCCATTGCATTGGTGACCTCATACTACGTAAACACCATTGCCAATATTCCTCGGACTTCCAACCCCACCTCCGTAACCTCCATAAGCTCCGCAACCCCTGAGCTTCGCGGACCGCCTTCGGCACTCTCGCCGCCTGTAATGTATTTCTCGCGTTTTCCCTTCATCCCTATTTGGACTACTGCTTCTTTCTATTCTAGCCAGTTAGTCATCATCCCCACTTCCCCTCATCCTCCTGCCCCTCTGGGCCTCGCCCTCCCTACCTCCTTTCGGACGTATCACAGGTCTTGCCCTATGACCTTCGGTACCGCTCCGCTCCCTCTACCCTTTGTTCCCGTTTGGACGTCTTCGTTCCGATTCGGTCACCCTTTGTTCTCCTTGTGCTTTTGCCCCTTCCATTATATATATCGGCGCTTGTACATACTTGTCTTGGTTTCAGTCTGAAATCAACCTGAAATGCCCCCTAGAGACTTCCTGCTCACCTACTGTGAAATTAAGGACCAAATGGACAAACAGCAATGGCACAGCGCTCCGCTTGAGTCACTGAGGCCAAGGTCCCTCCACGCTAAGTCTCCGATTCCACTCTGGAGTTGTCCGTTTCTGCCCCATTCTAACAAAACTGAGGACTGAGGCTAACTGGGGTTGGAACCTACACCAACCCCTTACATGCATCGATCTGGATGAAATTCAGGGAATCCATGTTTGTGATTTTTCTCTATTTTCTGAGCCCTTGATTGTCTCTCAGCAGCCAGTAGCGCCAAGCATAGTTTTTGGGCTGGACCAATTCAGTACCAGCGCATTATGCACAATTGTACTCTGTTATAAAATCAAATAAAAATGTTTTTATGCACCATGGGCATTGGTAGGTGATCTTCACCTGCAGGAACCCTCAAAGAATGTAAACCACCAAAATACTGGCAGTGTAAAGTATAGTAGGTTATCCTGCCTACATACAGGCCTTGCTTTTTAATCGTGGTCCCTCACGATTTTCCTCAGCGTAGCCATTCAATAAATATTCAGTTAAACGTGTCAAAAGAGTGGGTTTATGAGCACACTGCACCAAAAGGATATATATTTCTCTGTATTTTTACAACCTCTGTGTACTGGCTGACAGGTTGGTGATTGGGTGTCAGGGGATGGACCCTGGGTCCCCATGACCCCTCTCTATGGCCCACAGCCCTATGTGTAAACAGCCTATCCTAAGGCACAATCTGCTGTGGGTAAGAAAGTGTATAAAAGGAAAAGCAGGTAAGTACAACTTGCCTGCTGTGGGTAAGAAAGTGAGAAGAAGGTTACTTCTCACCTTCCCACAGTGGCCACAATATGAGGAAAACTTCCGGGGATACCCGCAAGTCACATGAAGGCAGGATCTGGGGACCAGAGCATGCAGCGCGGGAAGCATGTGCAGGAAGTGGAGCAGGTCCAGATGCGGGTCCGGGTCTGGGCTAAGTCAGGGTATGTGCCCTGACATTGGGTGTGGATGGGCATCCTTCGCGAGAGGCCCCTTTCTTGAGTACCACTAGGGTGTCGGACATCTTGTCCTCAGAGGCAACAATTGCCTTACTCTTAACCCTTTTTTGGCAGTGCTGAACCTCCAAGTCTTCATGCTTGGTGTTCCCTGACTTTATGGAAGGTTCTACCATCTCTATGGATGGTGACCTTGAAGAAGCACTGACGAGTGCTGTGGTTTGCCCTTGATCAGGCTCTGAGTTGGTCTGATCAAGGACTTTCTTGCAAGGCAAGACAACTCTCTTCTTTCCCTTACTCTCAGGTATAAGCTTCTCTTTGGGTGGTGCAGACACTGTAAGGGTGTCAACCAACTTCTGCAGAGTCTTGACCTTTTCCTCAATGGATGTATCCATCTCCATAGCTTCTTGGGAGGTGGATGGTTTGGGAGTGTGGATGGCACTGTGCCAAGCATCCAAGAAGGCTTTCTTTGCCAACATAAAATTCTGGATGCTATGGTTCTTGGTGGGAGTCTCCTCAATGAGGGCTTCTTCCATCATGAGAGAGATAGCATTAAACATGTGGGCCAGGTCTCTCAGGGTAACGTTCTGGTTGTCTTGAGTGGGACTAGGGAAGTGGCATGCAGGGCTGTCTTATCTAGCCTGGCAATATGTTGCTCAGTGACCTTAAGATGGCCTTGCAACTCTTCTACGATGCTGTAAGGGGTTGGTGTAGGTGCCAACCCTGGTTAGCCTAGTTCCTCAGGCTGCCAACAAAAGTAACTTGTATGAAGTTACTGTACCCACGTGACCAACTACTGGTCACATGTCACGCTGGGGGTGCAGTTGAACAGCCCATGTCATGCAAATTCTGGCTCAGTGGCTATGCAACTATATTTCAAATGCCCTTTTTAGTAATATTTATATTAGAAGTGAAAAATCTTCATCTCCTCCAAATTGCGTGTCTGCCTTGCTCACATTCCACAGCCAAGATCCAAGCTGAGGCTAGAGGAAGGGAGTGTGGTGATATCATCAAGGGTGCCAGAATTACTGAGAGATGCAGATGTAATTTGTAAATTTGTTTGGATGACAGGAGTTTGAACCGGAGAAACCCAGTGACGGACAGGGGGTGTCTGGCAGGAGTTTGAACCGGAGAAACCCAGTGATGGACAGGGGGTGTCTGGGAAAGTAGGATCCAATAAGTGCATTTGGGATACCACTGTACAGAATGGGCTCATCTGTATAAGAGCAGATATGTCGTGCAAGAGCAAAACCATCCATACTTAGGTGCAAAGAAATTTTAAAGGGAAACTCATTTTCAAATTAATCACATTTATTCTGCCTACCAAATGTGACCATCAGCATGTTGGTTTCCTTTTGGATCATGCTCCCATGGTCAAGGTCATGTGCCTGCTGGTTGGGTTGTCACGCATCAAAATGAGCTCCCAGTTCATCACCTGGCAGAAATTTTGTGTCATGCTTGGGATGCCCGGTAGTTGGCCACGTGGGTACAGTATTATTTGCAACAGTATGGGAGGAAAGGCTAAGTTGCTCTTTCCACTTTCCCACACTATTGTATGTACTTTGTATATACATGTTTATTACAAGACAATTATACAGTGATGTAATGGGAAATAAGGGGTGGGGTTACCACTCCTTTCAGATGCTGAGGATGGTACTGTCAGGGTCGTGCATGCTCACAGTGAAGAAGGTCCCAGAAACCTAGTTGATAGCAAAGCTGGGAGACATGCCCTTGCCAGCACACGGTCTTATGTACATGGTAGAGATGGTAACTAGTCAACTAACTAATAACCAGTAGTATCGGATCAAAGAAGATAGAAGATCATGTGGCATCATAACTGACAGCTGCAGACTGGGTCAAACCAGAGATGAAGAAGTGGAAAAGAAGTAGAAGTTGATGGGATCATGGGTCATGTGGCAATGTGCTACTGATGCTAGTGACCCGAAGGTGTGCCCTGATAGGTATGTGTCTGTCAGGGTCGTGCATGCTCGCAACAAAGGATGCTCCCAAAACCAAGTTGATAGCAAAGCTGGGGGACATGCCCATGCCAGCAAAGGATATATATACATGGTAGAGATGGTAACTAGCCAACTAACTAATAACCAGTAGAAGCAGATCAAAGATGATGGAAGATCACACAGCATGATAACTGATACCATGTGACCAGATCAAATAGAAGATCAGAAGTGGAAAAGAAGAAGAACCTGATGGGGATACGGGTCATGTGGCGCTGCACTACTTACACTAGCGACCCGAAGACGTGCCCTGACAGCGTCCTATTGTCATACATGTTCCTGAAGACTCAGCCATTTTCCAAGAGGCTGTCTAATTTTTCAGAAATCTGAGTGAGGTCTTCCATAGGCTCTGGCTTGGGTGAGGGGGATGGGGTATGATGAGGCCGTCTGTGAGTCATGGCAGAGTGGCGCTCCAAAGGTCCATCTTCTCTGTTACAGGACTTGGAGGATTTACTCCTGGTCCATGCCAAGGGGGGTCCATACCCAGTCGCTAAGCCACTTCTGGTATGATCCAACCTATTGAAGCTCAAGGGGGGCTTGGATTTCATCACTGCCTCCATGCATTTCATCTTGGATTCTAATTCTTCAAAGTGGTCAGTGTCAGTTTTAGCTCTCTTTGGGGGTGGAGAGGGGGATCTGGGATGCTTATTAGTGCTTGGCTGCTGGGAAGGCATTCCCCTGTGGGCCCCTCTTCGAAAACCTCCCCTTCCTCTCCTGAAAACTGGAGTTTCTGAGCGATCTCTTTCGCAGCTGTCTTCACAAGGGGTCTGATAGGAGTACTCCATTCTGTCTGAATGTTGAGAGGAATTTTCTGACATGCACATATTTCCCATCAATTGTTTCCTCCCCAGAAATCTCATTCTGGATAATTTCAATTGTTGCCTTAGGCTCAGTGGAAGGATTCACTGACTCATACTCAGCCTTGATGGCCTCAATAACCTCTATTTGTGCTTCACTGAGCTGAACTTTATCCTCTCCAGCATCAACACTGGACTCTGCCATGATTGGGTTTGAGGTTTGTGGCTCAAACCTCCCTTTGGTTCCCCAGGGCAACCACTGGAACAGCGTCAGTTTGCCAGTTGGCAAGGTCTTGAACTGAACTAGCTCTCCGTTTTGATCCGGATAGGTCTCATGATGGTAATCCCAGTATTGGGAATCTTCCTTAATAAAAGTTTCTAGTTCCTCTTCCTCTTGGGTCAGAGGAAACTCTGCAAGTGGATTATTAGCATGGGCAATCATGTGTCAGTGCTTCTCCTCCCAATAATCTTGTAATTCCTTACCCTGCAATTCCCAGGGCCTAGGAAGTCTTGGTTGGTTAACTCGGCTAATGAGAGTGAGGTGATTATCCTCATTGTCCTCAGAAACTTGATCCTCATCAAGTTTCACTGGTTCATGCATAACTGGATATTTATTTTTGTGGAAGTGGTAGGACTTAATCCTTTTCCACACAACTGGCTGTTTAAAAATGGTCCCATCTAATTCTTGTAAGACAAAGGCACCACTTTGTAAGCGTCAGACAATAATATATGGTCTGAACCAATGAGGTTTCCCTTTCATATCTGTCAGGGATGGCTCGAAGGAGGCAGAGGTAGCAGCACACGCTTGGCACTAGTGGTCTTGACAATGGCAGGGCAGTGAGACCATATACAGTTCTCCAATAAACCATTGCAATGTTTTTCACTTTTCAACTCATGACCTTATAGCACAATGAAAATGTATTTCAAATTTTTAAAAAAATATTCAGAACATGGGAAAGTATCTCATCTAAAGATCTACCAATTATGTAAGCAATATTCCCATTTTTGGTAATGTTATGTAATTTACAAACTACCCAGGTCATTGCAACGGTTTATTGGAGTACCCCCAGGCTGAACAGAAAATAGGAATATCATGGGACATGTCATGTGATATTGTTTACTGTACACACTAGTAAACAAAATGACATTAATAAAGCATAAATACCAAAGGATAAGGCCCCAAATCCGAAATGCATCCTTTAGCCACTTCAAAAGTTGAACAAATCCTTTCCCTCATTGATTCTGGTCATAGTGCTTGCCAAATCTCAGTTCTTACTGGCCACCATTACTTCGCTGTCACTCACCTATGGTCTAAACACCGTTCTGATGTTCTCAAGCCCAGTGGTGGTCATCCATCCAAGCTTTCTGACACTGATATCTGCCATGCTTGTCATCTCATCAACTCTGGGAAGGCTGACAACTCATCCCAAGCCACCCAAATACTCTGAAACATCAATGACACATCCTTCTCCATTGAGAGTGTATGTAAAGGGCTCAAAAAAGCTGGTTGGAAAGCAGTGGTGAAGAAAAAAAGGCCTATGCTCACCAGGCATCACAAGAGGGACAGGATAGATTTCACCCTCAGCCACAAGGAGTGGACTCTAGAGGACTGGAAGAGAGTTGTATGGTCTGATTAGACTAAGGTGAATCGTCTGGGCTCAGATGGGAGGAAATGGGTGTGGAAGTGGGTGGGGGAGCCTCTCACTGACAGGTTGGTGCAAGGCACAAAAAAGTTTGGTGGAGGTTCCATCATGGTATAGGGTTGTATGACCTGGGATGGGGTTGGAATGGCATGCAAGATTGATGGGAAGATGGATGGGGACCTGTACTGCCAAATTCTGGATGAGGAACTACAGGAAATCATATCGTATTATCACAAAAACCCAGCCCATGTCCTCTTCCAACAGGACAATGACCCCAAACACACCAGCAAAAAGGCCCAAAACTGGTTCAATAACCACTGTATTGAGGTCATGAAGTGGCCCTCACAGTCTCCAGACCTCAATCCAATCGAGCATCTCTGGAATCATGTGAAGAGAAAGCTTGGGGAATATGAAGAACCTCCAAGTAGTGTTCAGGAGCTGTGGGATCACTTCCAGGAGTGGGATAGGATAGATCCAAGTGTTTGCCAGAATCTGATTGAGAGCATGCCTAGCAGTGGTTAGAGCAAAAGGTGGCTATACAAAGTATTAATTAATGCCATTTTCCCTTCCCAAAAATGTACTCCAATAAACCATTGCAATGACCTGGGTGGTTTGTAAACTACATAACATTACCAAAATGGACATATTGCTTACATAATTGGTACATATTTAAATGGGATACTATTACATGTTTTGAATATTTTTTTGAAAATTTAAAATACATTATCATCATGCTATAAGGTCATGAAGTCAAAAGTGCAAAACATTGCAACAGTTTATTGGAGAACTGTAGCAGGCAGCCCTCACTTGGGCTTATGTCCCTGTATGGCTTCTTAGGCTGAAGTGGGTGTCAGGGGACGACTCCTGGGTCCCCATGACCCTCCCCTATGGTCCACAGCCCTATGTGTAACCAGCCCTATCCAGGGCACAACCTACTGTGGGTAAGAAGATGAGAAGGAAGCTAACTTCTCATCTTCCCACAGTGGCCACCATATCAGGAAAACTTCCGGGGATACCCGGAAGTCACATGAAGGGGTAGGAACCGGTCCCGGAGCATGCGGTGTGCGGAGCATGCATGCATGTGGGAAGCGCAGCGGGTGGAAGCAGGTCCGGAAGCGGGTCCGGGTCCGGGCTAGTCAGGGTGTGTGCCCTGACAGTGGGAAATGTATTGTTATTAGAATGAAAAGCTAGACTAAACTAAGGTACTTGCCTGAAGTGGGAAATGAGAAGAAGGTTGCTTCTTCGGTCCTGCTTTGGCTTAGTTTATATACATGTGAGAACGGGTCACGTGGAGGTGCCACATCATCCCTGGGTGGAGCCAGGTTATCATGGGTGGCTCTGCAGTCGATCCTGAGTGTCAGAGGAGGGAGATACAAGTAGGAATGTGTGGTGCATCCGGCATTGGGGTGCCCATGTGGGGTGCTCAGTGTCAGGGTCTGTCCCTCGTCCAGAGGGGGCATAGCAATGAGGTCTGGGAGCAGCACTGGAGAGTCTTCTCCAGCCACTAATTCCTCAAAGTCACCGAGGGGACTTGCCCTGGGCTTCACAGGGAATGAGTTGAGAAGAAGGGTAACCTTCTCAACCCCCTGTGAGGCCGCTACAAAAGGAGCCTGGGAACTGTGCAGTTGTCGGGTCTTTCCCAAGTTTCCATATTAGGTACCGTGGGAACATTCTGGGCAAGCAGCTTGCCCAGAATGTTCCCATGGGTTTGTGTACCTGTACCATTGTGGAACAGTGGGGAAAAATGGGGAAAAATGGGGGAAGGGTGGTTAGGAGGGGGAAAGGGTGTCTGGGGGTGTGTGGGGTTGAGGGCTGTGCCCTGACACTCAGCATCGGATGCATCCATGCTACAGGTGTAGGAGAAAAGGAGAGGTCATCCATATAAAGATAGAGAAGGAGGGAAGAAAGAGAGAAAGAAAGAAAGAAAGGGTGCAAGAGAGGAAAAGGAGAAGGGGAGGGCAGTGGCACGGTGCAGCGTGGCATGCCCTGACAATATCATGCTGGAGTTTGATCTGCTCATTTGAGACAAGGACAAATTCCCCATTTTTATATTCACCCTTTTTCATACCCCTAGTCTGAAATCGACAACTAGAGTTGATGACTAGAACCAGAATCGACTGGATTGTCCCCCCAAGAGGCTCCCCCTTGCTAACCTGAAATTAAGGACCCCTTAGACAACAAAGCAGCGGCACAGCACTCCACTTGAGTCACTGAGGCCAAGGTCCCTCCTTACTGAGTCCCTCCTCTGCTTCCAGACAATTGCACATTCTATAACAGATGCCTTCTTTGATGTCAATTTCCCCATCACTATGGTCAGAATCATCTTCCAACCTCCTGTGCCTTGACAATCCATTGGGTGCCTTGTGTCTTGCAGCAGGATTGTGCTCTATGTCTAATCCAGCAGGTCATGGCCACATTCGGTAAATCGGGAGAATGAATCATTTGCACAAGTGCAATTGTGTCCACTTGGAGTTTAAAGCAGATATTATACAGGCAGTGTTTCTCTGCCTTAAAGGCACACAGCACTCCATACAATTCCGGCTTGGGCTGGGAGTAGCGGTTTTCCACATTATTAAAGGTGATGGACCCAAATACAATGGGGTATATTCCATCCTCATAGGTCTGGTTAATGACCCACCCAACCCATACAACTGAGGAATCTACTTGGATGGTTACCAGCCCTAAGTCATTCTTGCACTGGTTCTTTGGCTTCACTTGGGTGGCTAGCATGAAATTGAGGGAACGAATTGGGGATGTGTTGGCAGCTAATTCCTTAAGCCTTGCCATTGCTTCTTCAGATTTGGGCATCCACTTGAATTCATGTGGTGCCATTTTCTTAGTTAACTGGGTGAGGGGCTTGGCAATTTTAGCAAAGTCCTTAATCCACCTTTGCACTACACCTACAGTCCCTAGGAATCCCCTTACTTTGGAGGGATTTTTACAAGACAGCCACTTAGATATTTTCGCAGTTACTTCATGTGAAGTATGCATGCCCTCTATGGAGACCACTGCTCCTAACATGGACAATCATGGTGTGGCCAGGATCATCTTGGTCACTGAAACAGTCATGCCATGTTCCTGTATTCTAGCTAATAATTATGGGCATATTCCCATACGAAGCACCTGACATTTTTGCGGGGACAAGTCCGTGCACAGTAAAAAATCAGATTCTGCAGAATTTGGCCACCAACATGCACCAATACCCTCTGACGCTTCCATTGCTCATCCCCACACTATCCAACACTCCATACACCCATTCCCTATTTTTCCTTATTTTACCCATCATTCCTAACAACCCCAAGCAAAATTCCCATGCCCAACCACACTCCCAATTTCACCCCCTCTCCAGACCTCCATCACCACACATACAACCCAGCCGTTTTTCTACCCATTGGTGATGCTATACCTTCCTCCTTTACCCACAGAGCATTTCCCAGAATGGCAACCCCATATTTGGATGGTTCAGCATGGTGTAGAGTCTCATGTGGTCTTGACAGCACCTGTCAATGGCCACATCTCAAGAACTACTGCACCAAATGGGACGAATAAGGGCTCGTTGGAAAGCTGGAGACGAGGAGGTTGCTGACGGGAGAATAGGCGGGCGCTGTGGCGAAGTGTTGCGGAGTTAACTTTCACAATTCCCATTTCGGACCCATTATCATATATTCCCCATTCATTCATATTTCTTTTATTGTTTCTTTGTTCCCAATTGGATATTCATCATTTACGGTTGCCTAATGGCCCGTTTACATTCCCCCATTCCATTCATTCCATTTCCAACTCATATAAAATAGATAATAGCTTGTACATAACAAGTTAGTACTGAATAGACCCATGAAAGAGAAAAAAGAGTTACATCCAAGTGGCAAAGATGCCATCCATGACCCTAATGCCCCCCTTGAGATTGTTGCTCACGTCTAAGATCCCTCTGCTCATAACTCTCAGCCTTGACGTCCAAGAAAGATGTAGGTGAGTGTTGAGTTGAGGTTCTAGCAGACCCGGTAGCGCCCCAGGACCCAAAAACCCAAACCTCCATCACACCCATGCACACTACCACCCTCCCCCCTTTCTCTGTCTTGAGTCTAGATGATAGACCCATTACAACGTGTGCATTTTCTCCTATAGTCCGGTGACCATAGTAACTCTTGGGACCTTTGAGGGCACAATCATTGATGAATACATTGGCTTTGTTGGGTATCATAGGACCGACCATGTGTGTGGTCCTATGCTGAAATTTTGTAGGGGAATTCATATAGCCTTGGGGCAGGGTTGTCTGGCGCAAGGATCCCATATGTCCAGCTCCAAATGTAGTTAAATCTCTTGATGCTGGAGCCAAAGTACAACTATCAAATCCACTTTTCAAGTTGAATATGCCATAAATTGCTGCTCTGGCAACATCTTGTCAATTCTAGGTAATGTGCTGAATCACGGATAGAGCCAGTGTTAAGCAGTTGAAGATCATGTACTATCCATAAGGATTTATCTTTCTTTTCAACAGCAAAGAACCTCACCCTATAGGACAATTCAGATGGTTCATATTTCCCCACATCCATTTGTTCTTTCATCATGTACATAATTTCTTCAGTACGAGCCTGAGTGTCAGGGTCGTGCATGCTCGCAACAAAGGATGCCCCAGAAACCTAATTGATATCAAAGCTGGGGGACATGCCCATCCCAGCACATGGTCATATATACACGATAGAGGCAGCAACTAGTCAACTAGCTAATAACCGGTAGTATCGGATCAAGAATGATAGAAGATCATGCGGCGTCATAACCAACAGCCACAGATCGGATCAGATCGGAGATGAAGAAGAAGAAAAGAAGTAGAAGCTGATGGAGATATGGGTCATGTGGCAATGCGCTACTTATGCTAGCGACCCGAAGGCGTGCCCTGACACTGAGGCAATCTCAAGGGCTTAACTTGCCAAGGTTCATGTGGTATTGTATGCATAATATAATCAGGATAATTCCTGTGATTGAAGGTGCCCTGTTCAGCATCCATGAATGCTATAGCCTTCTCATACTTAAAGAGAATGTGGACTAAAAAGGTCCACTTCAGCTTTCATAAGAAAGTTGGGGGTTATGTCACGACCATGCATCCCGGCCCGTTAGCCGCCCATCCCGATGCCGCCCGAGCCCATTCCCGCTATGCGAGCGCAAGCGCGAGCCCCGACCTCAGCCCTATCCTCCATGAGGACTCCCTGCTCACTCCCTCACTTGCCCCTAGGCTCCCCTACACTTGGCCGACTCCCCCACAGCCACACTGACCTCCCTGCCCCGAGTCCGCCTCTGGCACCGACCTAGCATGACTCCGCGACATCGCCTACTCCGCTATGATACCATCGCCGCTATCGCGGCCCTACACCCCTTCGTTTATTTATCTGTTATTGTTTGTTTTGACCCTCGGTCATTGCCGGCTGCGGTGCAGCCAACCCCACTCTTTGTTCCTATTTGCTTCCGGACCCTTCGGCCTTCGGCCCGGGTCCGCTTCTATTCATTCCACCTTCATATATATATCCTGTATACTACATTATAGTACCTTAGCTCTAATATCGATTTGACCATGACCCCAAGTCCTGACCCCAACAAGGCAACCCCAGTGAGTTTGAAATGAGGGCCAAGAGACAGCTAGGGGGCACAGCACTCCCTTTAGAGTTGCTGAGGCCAAATGCCCTACCCTCGGGCCTTGTCTGAGGCATCGCGGCCATCGTGGCCATTAGCAGCCCGCATAGGCGACCTTCGGTGCCGACCCCGGACCAGTGTCTAACAGGTTATGTGTGCCACTATGGCTGCTACCCTTTCTTTTGTGAGTCTGGAGGTGGATGTATTCTGTGCAAATTCTGGTGGGTGCATAGGCAATGGCAAGAGGATGCCTATCTCAAGTGGTGTGTATGCAGGCACAATCGCCTCTGGGTCATAAGCTGAAACTAGGAGAATTTTTTTGCTAACAGGTTTGTAATGGGCACTGCAAGAGGGCTAGCGGCTCTCTATGCTGACTAAGCTTGTGGGGCCAAACTCTCCTAAAACTTCACTTTCTCTCTAGACTTTGCTTGACTCTCAATCCTTAACTCCGCAGTGGGTTCTCCAGGATTTCCGCAAGGTCCGGGCTCAGTGTCCACTACTCACTCGTTGTGAGCTAGACAGCTGCCCTTATTCCTACTGTTAGAATTCCACACACTCACACCCTCTCTTGCGCGTCCTAGCACCTTAGAGAAAATTGGGGGAGGGGAGAACTTCTTTTTAAAAATCCGGTATGTACAGGATTATAAGAAATAATTATTTTTAGAAATAATAGATGGGAAATATTGATGCCATATGGCACCTGCATACCTTATTAGGCGAAATAATAAAAAAGGTAACAGTATCAATAAAAGAATATTGATCAATAACTGAAATGATGCAAAAATATGAAAATAAAAGAAAATAAGCGATTTCTGAGCGGATTTACGGAATTAAGATCCGAAATTGAAAATGTGACTTAATAGAACTATTATGCAGTCAATGAGCATTTTTACCAATTTATTAGACGCCGTGGGAACGAGTGAGGCTGGAATTCTGGGTTGCCACTTGAGATTCCCACACCTGCACATGCCCGTGACCCGCTGTGCCTAACTTCTCCAACACGGAACTCCATCAAATCTCCACCGATTGGGACGTTCTTGATATCGTCAGAATCGTACGAATTAGGACTATTTTTAGATACCAAATTTGTACCGAGTCATCGCGTGAATGAAAGTCGTTTCCTAATCGTAGAATCGGGTATCCGAGCCGAGTCTGTGCATGGGCGATTATCCCACCTACAGCGCCCAATAGTTCTCTTGTAAAATGCTTAGACAAGTCTCTTGCCATGGTGACTTGGAGTCCCTTGGCAAGGCCGATTGCTTCAATTCGGTTACTTAAACTAGCCTCATTCAGGGATTTAGAGATGAACCATGAATCCCTTATGGCTTTTAATATAATCAGGTCCTTCATCTCCCATGAGATGAGGGCATACTCTAGGCTGTCAGGCCTTAGCTTTTTGAACTCTGGCTCTGGTGCCAGGAGCGCTGTGGTAATACAACTAAGGAACTTAGAAATTTCCTTCTCACCTGTAATGATTCCAGGCTTGACTGTATTAACATCTAGAGTGATGGGGGTGGCTTCTGCCTGTCAGTGTGCAGAAATTGGAAAAACATTTCTCTGTGCATTCATAATTGGTAATTTGGTCCATATGGAGGTCCTGCTGTCGCGATCTCCCTCTGTCCAAATCTGTATTGTCATTCCGACATCTGGCATGTATTCTATCCACAAGCTATGTCCATACAGCCATGGTTGGCCTAGGATCATGTCTTTTCCATTTAGGCCTTCCTTAGATAGGAAGAAATTGTGGGGCACTTCTACACCACCTAGAGTTATGGGCACATTTCTACAGAGCCCCTCTAGGGCAACCTGGTGTCCTGAGATGCCTCTAAGGGACCACATCGCTCCCATCAGATCAACAGGCAGCTGAAGTGCATAGGCTTGCTCACTAGTCATGATATTGAGCTCACTTCCTGTATCTATCAACATGGTGCAGGGTTGGTTAAAGACATGGCCCTGAATCTTGGCCATCACCATAGCTAGATATGAAGGCCGCTTGGCCAAAGAATAAATCTCATGGCTGGTGAGGCCGCATTCTTGCAGGTGCTCTGCTTCCAGCAGTTGGTGTGTTCATCCGTATTAACGGACTCTCTGCTGTCACTATCGTCTGAGTATTCAGACTCAAGACTTGAGACATCAAAGATGGGTCTAAAGTATAACTCTTCTTCCTCAACTGGCAAAGGCTTTGATGGCTCAAGGTCCAGAACAACTGTCTCTGCTTTCTTGGCAATCAGAATCCTTTGAACTTTCATGGCCATTTGGAGACGCTTATTAAGCTCAAAAGATGATCCTAAGATTGATCCTAATGGCAGGGAAATTTCTTGAGACAATAATTTCTCAAAAACCTCCTCAGAGTTCAACCTCTCCTGTAACTCGGAGGCGAACTTGTAGGCTGGTGGGGCCCTCTGCTTATACGCTGTAGGAGAAATAATGGTCACACTATGGAAACCCATTATGGAAATATGCCAGATAAATCACAAAACCCCATACGACAAGTAGATATGAGAAAATAGAAGAACCTGAATTTTTACGAATTTTTACGAATTTTTTACGAATTATTACAACTACATATGATAAAATGGAAGAAAGAAAATTAGCAAAAATACTTCAAGCTTAGCATCAACAAAACGGAATTCTCAGGGGAATTTATAGCAAATATTAAACCAAGAATTAGGACAATCGACCAAGATTTGACTATAAAAACAACCAGAGAACCTCCATGGAAACTACTTTCCCACATCCGCACATGTAGCCAAGGATGGAAGTACCACGGAACAAGGATTCCTTAGGAACTAATGCAAAATTCAAAGTCGTGTTTATAAGAGGAAATGTAGATGTCTCTCAAACGGACCCAATGAAAGTAATTACAGGGAAAACTACCCATAAACAATGGAGATATGACTAAAACTCTCGGAAAATGAGGACAACGTTTAAAAGGCAAGCGCGAAGAACAAGCAGTAACGACTGAGACGAGCTTGATAGCCCATTATAAAGGAAGGGATCTAATCTTAATCCACCCAAATTTTTATAATAAAAGGATCACACATTAATGAGATATCCAATAATGGGAATAGCAACATCAAAAGTCCGGACTCAGGGAAAAGACAATGTTTACATAGGATCCATAATTGAAACACACTACGAAAGGTACACGGAAATTATGATAAATAAGAAACTATAGTTATGCAAAGTTTCAGCCCAAACGGTCCAGCCGTTGTGAAGTTATACCAATGATGGGAATATAGAAATCTGCATCATGTTTAATGGCATGTGAGGGTGGCAATGCGAAGGGAACCAGCCATCAGAACCGAGATCTGCACTTTGGCAGATCATGAAGACCAATTTCTGTCCAAATAAGGAAGACCCCGGTCAAAACAAAGCACGGAAAGTACACAACAACCTTAGATCATGAGGGAAAAATCTGAAATAAATCACAGAAGCCCATATGAAGGATACAAACACCCATGCATACCATAAATCCTGATCAATTAAACAGAAACAGCACCCACATACAAACGACTATGGGAACAACGCATGTGATTACCGAATGTGCATGTGAACTTTTGCTAACTCGACAAATACCAAGAAATAGAATACAACTTTAGTACTATTGGAAAGGTGGGAATAAATGAAAATTTATGATACCAAGAACGTGAAAAACCATCCAGAAATGAATGAGATACAAGGACATGAAGTGAAAAACCTGAATACGTGTGGGAAGACAGCTTCTAGAGGTCCAGAGCCCCAAATAAAATACATAAAAATATGATATCTTCGAGGACGACCTACTATAACAACGAACAATACATATGAAGGACTAGGATGCAATAATACAAAGAGGAATCAGGGGAGATGGATGAAATCCACAAAATCCACTAAAACTACAATGGACCATGGCGGGAATTTTAGGGAATAATATTCTAATAAAGCAGAGAGCTATAACACATTTGTTTGAACAATTCTTGACTACTAGCAACTTTTTCTTTCAGTTCTAAACCTGAATAATTCACTCATTTACCATTTCAAGTCTCATTTTAACTAAATGTTACTGGATAAAAATAGAATAAATCAGCTGAAGGTCTCAGCGCAGGCGTACGCATAGTAATGCGAGGTTTGAATTCAGTATGACCGAGTCATAGTGAACCTAATGGTAAATATGAGGAATTTGAAATAGGAAACTGCGGCAAATACAGTGCAGTCAAGTTCTAATTGAACCATTAAAAAAGCTTAGGTGAGGAAGGACAATAAGGATTCTAAGCGCAGTCTGACTGCAGTAGAGCCACAGTTCAGTGCAGCAGAGCGCAGTAGAACTATAGCATGAAAATTTCATTTTTTATTCAGTTTGAGGAAAATACACTGTAAATAAATCCTGTAAATACAAGGTAGAGCATGAAAAAGGAAGGCAACCCAAGGAGTATAAAAGGGAGACCCTTTCTGCGACTTTTCGCCCCCCTCAGAGAAGTAAGAAAATAGAGTATTATTTTTCTCAAGCATTTCTGGTTGTCACTCCAGTGCGAAAAGTGATATACAGTTAAGATTGCCACTGTAGTAAAAGGCAGCAATTAAGGAGAGAAATATTAAGTAGATATTTCAACAGGAGAGCTGGTTAACACTCCAGAATTCAAAGTGTAAACACAGAACAGTTATTTTGCTACTGTTAAAACAAGCAATTAAATAAGACAAAAATAAAACAAACTCAAGGGACACTCCAGACACAATCTAAATCCATTAACTGAGTAGAATCTTTGAAACTTCACCAAGTAGAAGATTTAATTCAAGTTAAATTCCAAATTAAACAACGCTACACAGAATTACACATAGACAAATTAAGAAATTTCAATAAAGGAACAGCTCCACAGGGCTCGGTTTATCTGTAAGTCAATTCCCAGAAACTTTTAGACTAACCCATAAAATAGAATTAGCCAAAACACTCGGATTGGTACTATAATTACAACAAATATTACTAGTACACTTCCCCATCCTAACTAAAAAACCAGGGAACAGCTTGGTGGTGGTCTCGTTTGAACCTCCCAACTGACCTTCCTTCATTTTCTCCTTCAACATGGGGGGAGCCACATCATCTCTGCACACAGCTGCACCTCCCTGGGTATCTCCATGGGAGATCCCAGAGGTGTGCCACTCTGTAGGCAGGGATGCATGTGGTGGGTGCAGTGATTGGGGGAGTGGGGTTAGGTGTGTAATGATACATAGAGAAAGGGAAGTCGACCGTGGAACAGAAATAGAAAGAAAGAAGAAAAAGGGGAAAGGAGAAACAGGGAGTGTGTTAGAGATGGGCGGATTCAGACGACTCCGGAGTGGAATCGGAGACTTAGCATGGAGGGACCTTGGCCTCAGCGACTCAAGTGGAGCGCTGTGCCATTGCTGTTTGTCCATTTGGTCCTTAATTTCACAGTAGGTGAGCAGGAAGTCTCTAGAGGGCATTTCAGGTCGATTTCGGACTGAACCCACGAGTATGTACAAGCGCCGATATATATAATGGAGGGGCAAAAGCACAAGGAAACAAAGGGGAACCAAATCAGAACGAAGACGTCTGAATGGGAAACAAAGGGTAGAAGAAGCGGAGCGGTACTGAAGGTCATAAGGTAGGACCTGTGATACTTCCGAAAGGAGGTAGGGAGGGCAAGGCCCAGAGGGGCAGGAGGATGAGGAGAAGTGGGGGTGATGACTAACTGGCTAGAATGGGAAGAAGCAGTAGTCCAAATAGGGATGAGGGGTAAATGCGAGAAATACATTACAGGCGGCGAAAGTGCCGAAGGCGATCTGTGAAGCTCGGAGGTTGCAGAGCTTACAGGGGTTACGGAAGCGGGGTTGAAAGTCCGAGGGATATTGGCAATGGTGTTTACGTAGTATGAGGTCACCAATGCAATGGACTAAGACCGAGGTGGAGTCAAAGTCCGAGGTTGGGACTATGACGGAGGCTTGGAGCGGAGATACGATCAGCGTCCATGTAGGAAGTACGGGACAGTGGTGGAAGGTCGTAACTTGGCGGAAGGGTGGTGGAGGAGTACCAGAGGGAGGAGAGAGGGGAAAGGTAAGGGGGAAGGAGTGGCGGAGAGGAGGGTTGTCAGGTCCGAAGGCGAGTATCGGAGCAGATGGGGAAAGCATAGGAGGATTACAGGAGGGTGGAGGCGTTGTGGAGGGGGAGTGGAGTAGGAGGAGGAGGAGTAGAGGTGGCGTGGGGGGTAAGGAGGAGGTGTGTTGCCAAGACCGAAGGTGAGTATCAGAACGGCAGCGGTAGGTTATGACTCCGGAGGTGAAGAGGGTGGAGGTCTGGAAGTCAGGTCGGGGTCGGGTATGCACGGATATGACAGAGTGATAGTGGGGGGAGTGGAGTAGGTGTCAGGGCATACCTGCCTGACCTGCCTCCACCCGGGCCCACCCAGGTCCACCTCACCTGGTACCTCCCTTCTTGTTGCAGTACGATAGACCTGCCTCCTATTGGTTGATGCAATCTCCTAGAGAACTGCTGTGGCCATATGGTGTAGTGGTTTATCACCTCCAAATATATGTTGGATGGACCCGGTTCGAATCCTGGTGTGGCCACCTTTTCAGAGTTTACAATAGGTTATGAGCCCAGTTACTCTGAGGGACCCCAGGACCTACCATGACTGTAAGCCGGTCTGTGACCTTTGCAGGATAGGTTTAATCAGCCGCAGGTCTAGGGGAGTGTTGCAGTACGATAGACCTGCCTCCTATTGGTTGATGCAATCTCCTAGAGAACTGCTGTGGCCATATGGTGTAGTGGTTTATCACCTCCAAATATATGTTGGATGGACCCGGGTTCGAATCCTGGTGTGGCCACCCTTTTCAGAGTTTACAATACTTCTCTCATTCCCTGTCCTTCCTTCCTGCTCTTCCCCCTTCCTACCTCCCTTCTATTTCTGTTTCTATCTCTATTCCTATTTCTACCTCACACAGACGACTTCCCTTTATATCTATGTATTACCAACCCGCCTGCGGTGCGCACACGACATGCCCAGCCCCAGATGCCCCAGACAGCTCTAGGGTGCAACCTAGTATGCGCGTGTGCAGCATACACCCTCAGGATCCCCCACGGGGACACCTGGGTGACTGCGGCTGTATGCGGGGTGATGTGGCAGACCTCATGTGACTCGAGCCACATGTATATAAACACACCTGGGGTGGGAACCAAAGAAGTAACCTTCTTCTCAACATTCCCACTTCAGTCTAAGTGGCCAGGGACTGCTGTCCCACATCGGGCCCACCAGTACACATGCCTGATCTACCCCCCGTGAAGTCCTCAGCACCAGACACTACACCTGGACTGCCTTGACCCCGGACACCTCCCTGACAGTAGGGCAGCATGGTGTGGGGTCAGGTGGGGTGTGCCCTGACATCAATGGATTGTAGTGGGTAAGCCAGTTGTGTCCTAGGACTAGAGAACAAGATCCATCTGGTGATGTGACAAAGA